CCCTGGTTACTCATCTAACTCAAGCGATCCCTCCTCATTGATGTTATAGATGTGTCCCTGAGGGGTAGTTTTGTGCATGTTACCTCGGGGCCGACGGCTGTTGTGATCTTACTGGTAGAATCCAGAGGCTATGGATCACAGCAGCAGCCTTGGAGCTGCCTAATGTTCTGTGAGCGCTGGGAGAATTAATTTACTGTGTCACGTATGATTATGAACACAGATTAATAAACAGTAAGTTATTTTCCTTAAGCCCTGGGCAAAGTAAAAATATTAGAATGAATGACATTTTTCTTTTGGCTGCACGTCTGGGCTGTGTAATAGAGATGTGACAGCTCAACCTTCGATATATAGCTTTTAGTTCCACTTTCAATCTGTCCCTGAGGAGAAATCTATCTGTTGCTTTTCTTATGGTGTAAAGAGTGTGTTGAATACTAAGTCTACTGTGCCTGAAAAGTATTTCACTGAAGTTGTTAAATAATTACTATATGAAATGTTTACAGCTCGTTTTTACAGAGGCTGCAATTTTTCATTTTCTGGTTTTACACACAGTGGCAGATATTGGAATATTTCAAAATCAGGGGCCATGAAGGGGCCACCATTTACACAGAGGGGCCAATTATATGTAAAACGTCCATGCACAGTTCCTGATTCAGAACGGTGAACACTTAAGTAATTCCTTGTTTACTGTTTGCTCTCTAACTTTGAGCAAAGCCACACTGATATATTTGTATTAAAAAAAGTTCCTTGCTGAAATGAGTTTTCTTCAAAAGAATGAAAATAATATTCTTCAGAAATGTTCACATTTATTGTCATATTAATAAAAGACTGATGACAGGGCACTTCAGGGGCCAATGAGATTTGTGCCCCCTGGCCCCACCCACTGTTTACACAGCCTTTTCCTGATTTTTGTAGCTCCATCACAAAGGTTATAGTAAAAGATATAATATAAATCAATAACTGGTTTCCGTGTTTAATGCTTTTAATAATAGCTACCAGTGAAGATATATGCTGTAGTGATGTGGGAGTGCCTTGTCAGAGAGTGGAGTACACTGGGATTTGGACGAGCTCCATGTGTCTGTGCCTCATAGAAACAGAGGGGACCTGTGAGCGCCGGGGTCAGGGATGAGCAGTGTCCCTGGTGGGAAAACTCAGACACTGAATATCTCAACCAAACTCAATCCCTGTGTCTTATGTAACCAGGCCAGATTTTTCTGGCTCAGTGTTCTGCCAAAGGTTAGAAACCCAAAAGGGTTCACATCATTTAGTTCTCTTAATTTATTCATTGTCTGCACTGCTGTGAAATTCCATTTAGAGAGTGTTTCAAATTCTTCTCACATTATGTTGTGTCAATTTAAATGCATGAGAGGAAATAATAGAAAATTGAACACCATGGTTATTGTCATGCCAATGGGGGGGATCATTACTGTGTGTACCACAAAAAATGGTAGAAGTCTGCAGGGCTTTATATTTTAAGTTTATAACTGAGTCATTTTGCACATAAAACATCTCATCCCCCTTTTTTGTTCCAGTGTTATTTATCATTTAAATGTTTTTACCATTGTTTTTGTTCTAATGCTTAATCATCTTTCCTTCTTATACATAAAACAAGCAATTAACAAGAAAGAAAATCCTTTCATTATGTATTGCAAAGGCTTTGAATTTTTAATCTGCAACACAAACCCCTGATCAACACTGTAGCTCTCCTCCTCTAACAAAGACTAGAAACCTTTAAGTGGTTGAGAATAATACATGGAAACAATAAAGTGACCTTTTGTTCTGAGAGAACTGCTCTCAGTCGATCAGCACTTAAAGCTGACCCTCTCTCTTTTACACACAGTGGATGGCCTGGTAATTATAGCCTGTTTCCAGCCATCATAAGTGATGCCTACACAGGTTTGCATTAAAATAGAACATGTTTCTGCAGCAACACACACTCAACATATACTCGTACTAAATGTAGCTGGATGTTTGTTTAGGGTTGGGGAATAAAACAGTGTCAATAATTATCACTATATCATTGTCATCAATAGCAGTACAACCAAAATACAATATGTATTAATATATTGCACTGTGCAGTAAAAAAAAAGGTCATGATAAAATAAATATGAAAATAATAATGAATATAAATAGGAGGTTAAGCTAAAATTGAACAGAAAAATACAGCCACCAGGTAAAACATTTTAGCAGTATGTGATAAAACGAAACAACAATTGGGTAAAAAGGGAGGAAAATAGGTAGAAATATATAAATATGTATATTTTTTTCTACTTTATATTGAAAGGTGTTTCTGTTTTAACACCATCCACTCTCATTCCTTTGCTTTTCCCACTATGATGAGTCCAAAGGTTTAATGTGAACGTTTTTTTGACCTCATGTAATTCCTCAGTCGGAGTGATTGTGTGAGATTGTGCTGTTTGTGTTAGTCAGCTGGGTTACAGATATAGACCAGCAGCTCTGCCTCACCATTTCTATAACCTGTAGGTTTCAACCATAGACTGTATAAAAAGATGAACATGACAGCCACTCAAAAGCTTCACTTTTGACTAACTAACCAAAAAGTCAAACATGGTTTCTATTTAGTTTATCACACCGTTCAATCAAGACTTTTTTTTACTAGTAGGTTTGGTTTTAATTAGTTGATAAGTTCCGTAAGTTAATTTGATGAAACCGGGTGAAACATCATAATTGACATCTGAGACTGACTCATGATTGGTTGAGTACATGTATCAGCAGGACCTTGATAACTCGGCTCCATCTCTGATATATATACCATCTGATTGCTCCTGCACAAACTGAGGCTTCACACGAGCAATATAGCAGCATTTGTATCAGAGATATTTCGGCTTCATTTCTACATAGCGGCAGGAAGTGGAACCGCGTCATCTGTCTTTACTAACAGTTTGTGGTTTCAACCAGGCAGAATCAAGGTGGCAGATAAACTGCTCCCTCCTCAGAGATGTTCCTGTTCTGCCTCATGCACATTCATATGCATTGCAGCACTGACATAGACATAGACACAATGGCAAGGTGTTTTCCCATTGAAATACAATGGGCTGTGGCTAATCAATACTGCCCACAGGAATGGGAAGTCACATGAACCAGTGACAAGCTCAGACAATCAGAACATGTTGATGTACCAAGATGAAACATGGTGACACACATGGGGAAGGAATACATCCAGAATCCCATGTAACAATCGATACACAGCCTCCATTTACATCTACATTTTAAATACCAGCTCCCTTAATGACTCTGACAACTTTATTTTTAAGTTTAATAAGAGCCAACACCTTCAGCTAAATGTCGTGATGGTCTTTGAATTAGTCTCACTTCCCGCAGCTTTATCCTCTCGCTCTCATTACCGTTGGTGCTAAGTAAAGCGGAGCCCGTCTGCTGTCCAATCTCCATATTAAAGCCAGAGGAAAGGTCAGCTGAACCACACCTCAACGGTTATCGACAGGTCAGGAGGTAGAAGGAGGGGATTAGGGAGGGAAAGGTCGTCGGTTTAGGTAAATACCATACGGCCATGAAAATGAAGCTGTTAAAATATGCAGATTCGGAGGGTAGAGAGATCCTTGTTGTGGAAGAGGAGCTGTGCAGATGGTGCAGCTGAAGTCGTCTGGTGGGAGCTGCTTACTGCTGTCTTCATAGATGAGGATCGTGGTTTAACTAGAAGACATGTTTAATTTAAGTTTAATTTGTATTTGCTGGAGGTGCTGTCGTTGCTTATCTGACATGAAATCTGACATTTACAGCCTCAGAGGGATGAATACCATACCAGCAGAATTACTTTCAGTACAAAGATTTCAGATCAATAGCAGGATCAGGAGTCTTTTCTAAGATAGAATCTGTTCCATTGTAATGATGTCTGCGCCACACACAACTCCCTGATAAATGCTTTACATGTGGAGGTGAGCTATTTTCTTCTCAAAGTCATTGAAGACACAATACAGTTTGTTTATTTCTTTGAGTTCCCATTACCTGTGCCTCAAGGCAGAGCTATAACCCCAAAACAATTTAATAAAAACAATAATTATACAATAAAATCAAACAATAATAATACACCAAAAATGAATACTAATCATTATCAAGACTAACAAAAACAGCAATGAGGCAATCACATCACCTTAACCCTATACATAGTTTTTCTTTTGGTGACTTCTTGAAAGAATTAAGATAAGTACGCTGTTCATTCTGCACACTTGTGTGTGAGATTCATAAATGTCTATCCTAGCAGTAAGTATTTTGTTATGTATGTAAACTATTATATGTAAACAAAATGCCAGAATTATTTTGTGAAAAACTAATAGATATACTAATACATCAGTCCTGATCAGCTGGTTTTACCTACAGGCAACAAACCAGATGTTTAACGTGATCTGTACAGAGGTTTGTTTTTTTGTTGTTGCCTAGAATGAATTAGATTAAGAAAAGAGTCTGAAAGGAGAGAAAAGGACGAGCAGACAAACCTCAGAGATCAGTGTCATTAGCTGAATGTATGGAGCAGAAAAATGGGTCAGAGTGGCACTAAAGAAAAGTATAATATTAAATGGATGGATTTTGTTTGTGGAAAGATGAGACAAAGGAAATGTGGGAAGATTCAAAACAACTTGTCTAAATTGATTCTCTTGAAATGAGTTAAAAGTTAGCCAGGAAATGAAAGAATGTACTAATGCATTATTGCTGTTTCAGTGTGTGTTCTTATTGGTTTGAAATGCCGATCACAGCTGCAGTGATTTGTCTGAGAGGTTCATATTTGTCTGATGGCTCAGGGGTGTGTGTCGAATCGACATCATGTCAGAATGAATCACCTGATTTTACAGAGCAGCTCTAAGGCTCCACAGCTGTACACACCAGCACTACACTTCTCTTATTGTTGTCACATCTTTGCCTTGGTACTTGGCTGTGTGAATGTAAATAATACGTTTTGAAGACAAGTCTGTGTAACAATTTTAAATGACTGTGACATTGCATTCATTGATCATTTCTGTCCCCCGCAGATCCATCAGTGCATCACAGACAGAAGACGGTGGTGACAGACATGTGCTACCCGACAGAGATATCCAGCCTGATGGACTTTGGCACTGCAGACTGCTCGCTAGGCAAAGGTACGGTGTTGCTGGAAAATATAAGGTGTTGTCTTGGTGACAGCGGGACGTGTGCAGACTGATTTATCCCGGCAGTTAAAAGACACAAAGCTGTCGGCTTGACGGGGAGGTTAACTCCGGGGAATGGGCCCTGCTCAGGCTGAGACCCATCAGCTCTGGGTACCTGACCATGAGAGCCTTAGTTATATCACTGCAAGCTTTGATTCATCGCGGCTGAATAACATATTTTTGTCAGCACATACAAAGAACAGCGACAAAGGACTGTGAGATCTGCTTGACTTCAGAGCCAGCCCTTCCTACAAACCAAGTGAGCAGCTCCTTGGGACCCCGCAGCCACTAGGGAGCCCCCAAAGTCATACGTCATTAGCTGAATTAGGGTTGCTAATTTATGGCTTGCAACTGAGACTCTAATACGACAGGGCCACAAGTGAAGGTTATCAGGTTTGTTGGATCCTAAACTTACAACATTGACATTAGTACGTATGCAACACAGAGTCTCAGCCGTTGCTGCTACAGAGAGCTAGTCTTTATTCAAAGTTTGTCATTATTGAACGTATCCTGTTTCGAAAACACACCAAATTCAATCACTGCACGTCCTCAGGCCCTTAACATTGCAAATACCAACTGTAATACTGATGAGATAAACAGTTCTTGAGATATGTGTTCCATATACAGACAGGCAGAGATTTCTGGAGTTAGTAGATAGATGAGGAACATCAAAATCTTTTTAAATATGGCACGATTAAAAAGTTGTGGGTTAGACCTTTTCACAGCATAAATTAATCTGCAAAGCACGTATGTACAAGAGTAGAAATAATTAGTTGTTGAATTTAATTGAACTTTTGTATGATTTGATTCTAGTAATTAAGACAGTGCCTTAAACTTATAGACTATATAAAGGTTTACAAAAGCTGGTCTATCCACTGTGACGCAGGTCCCCCAAACTTATCCTGCAGCACCGGCCCTGACTTCCTGCCAGAGAAAAACATTTCACTTTGCAATTAGCTTTAAACTGAACAGAGTTTTATTAAAGTTTATAGCGCTAATGTTACAGTTATTACACTGCAGCAAGGTCCCTTCACTGTCATGAGTTTGAGAAATAAAATGTCCTATAGAGGCGGCCGCGTGGCTCAGGATAATAGTCTCGCTCAGTCCCTCGTGTGTAGTAATCAAACTGACCAGGCGGTAATAATACGCACCACAAAAGGTATTGATCATAAAGTCTATTGATTGCATGTGTATTGTTGCTTAATCTATAAGCCCCAAGTCCATTTCTTCTTCTCATCATAAAGATGAGTGTTATTCTCTATTCTAAAGAGTCTGTAGAGTAATAGTTATGCCAATCTTTTCATCCAATCGAGCCACTAGAAGCTGGCAGAGCGCGTTGGGAGGCTATTAGACAAGCCTGATGTTATTATCATCAACAACGGGCAGTGGCAGTGGTGACCTCAGTCACTCATTCTTCTTCTTTCCCTCAGTGTCCATCACTGCTTTCAGTCTCCCTCCTCCTTCTCCCCCTGCTTTTTTCCACCTTCTCTCTTCTTTCCTCTCAAGGCTAGCTAATATTTTAATGCCGCTCCGTCCCTGCTCTCTATCAACGCTCCCCCAGCTCTGATAATGCAGACTGACGGGTCAACCGTCTGCAGCTGAGAGAGGAGAGAAATACAGCGATAGAGAGCACAGGGTAGGAGAAAGTGAGGCTTTTAAGATTTCTCCTGGCTGTAATGTGAGCAAAGCAAATGAATGACACGGTGATACAGGGGAGTTAATCTGAAGAGTGAGGACACTGAGGAGCAGATCATTTCAGACTGAAGAATTGTCGGGATAAAAGCAACACTGTGAATCAGGCTGCTGCATGACCTTGGAATTAAGTAGTCTAAAAAACCCATATTCATATGAAAGCAGCTGTGTGCAGATCGGTTCAATTTAATCAAAGTTGATATGAGATGCAGAAGTCCTTCTGAGAAAAATCTGCACTCGCACTATACCTTCATGATGAGATGTTAATTCTGTCCACTATAGAGGAGTTGTCGTTACGATCTCTTGTCTCGGCTCTGATCTCAGGCAGAATGAGGCTGCCAGTAGTCCTTGAGGTGTCAGCGTGTGACTGACAGATCCATTGCCTCATGTGACAAGTGTCTGGTTAGAACACATCTGATCTTTGAACGCAGCTAAAACGCTGGACGTCAGCCCCTGACAAGCAGGACAAGTGTCACGACTGCTCTGAACTGCTGTCACATCTTTTAAATGCAAGAGTTTTAGGTCAGATTTCTCTTCCACACAAACACACATTATGTTTACACACACCATTTAGTACGCTAGTTGTGTTACTCAGGTGCTCATAAAAATAAAGTGTCCATAATAAGTTCATATCCCGTCGAGCTTTACAGGCTGAATTAATTCAGTTTATCTCTTTCCTCAAACCACCGGATTGTACGTCCCTCAGGGTTCAAGGCCCAAAGAGCCCTGAGCTTCAAACTGGACGAGCCTTAACTTTATTACCTTTCAGGTTAGGTTTTTGTCCCTGTCCATTTATTTACTGCTTGACTGTTTGATTGTCAGCAGCATTACGCGAAAACTATGTGACAGATTTCCATGAAACTGGAAAGGAAGGATATGACATGGGCCAAAAGAGAACCCATTCAGGTTATGAACAGAAACATGATTCAATTCATACATCATGTCCTGTCTAGCACAGGTTCTACCTAGGTCCCACCCTATACGCCGGAATTTTGTGGTCATGTCCTTGTTCTCGTGACCCGGACAATCTTCTGCTGCATTTTTCATATGTGAAAGGCAAACTCTGGGAAATGCACAAGCCCTCATTTCTGAAATGTGTGTTATGTGTGTGCATTTTGGTGCAGATCAAAAACAATTTGGATGTAGCAGATTTTTTAAAAAAAATTTGGGGGGGGGGGGGTATTGTGTATATATTGTTAAGATACACTAATGGAGTTCAAGAATAAATAATAAGATCTAGAAATGAGAATAATAGGTTCCCATTGAATGTTGTAGCAGTGGTTTATATTTATATATATTTAGTTTGAGAACTTTGTGCAAACTAAATTACTGTTGGGTCTGGGCTCTCTGCTCTCTACTGACCATATTCGCACGTGTCCAAGTTTCCGTTGAACATGAGGCTGTTCTGCCATGGACCAGTCCATGGAAAACCACTGGTTAAAGAGAAACATGGCAGAACTCGTGTTAATAATCCAGTTTGTCATGTTTCCTTTATCAAGCATTTTCATTCAGAGTTTATTTTCCTTCTGCTCCTCTGGCCAAGACACACATTCACATTCAGGAAGTGAGTAATATAAACTCTCGTGGGCCACAAAGGCAACGTGAGCTCGGAGGGAGCGCGTCGCTCTCATACAGAGGGGAGTATTGTTCTGTGTTTAGTCTGTGAGTGTAATAATACACTCTGGCTTCTGCTCGCTCACGGCCATCAGGTGGAGTCACAGCTCCACTGTCTCACCTGCTGCTTTACCTGAGGCCTGAGCTGCAGCCTGTTTTCCCTTCCCCCTCCTCCTCGTTTGTGCTCTATCAGTCAGGGAGAAAAGATGAAAAGCTGTAATGTGGGCGTCGGGTGAAAGTTGTCCTAGCTGCTTCTGGGCGTGTCGCTAAACAGGTATACAGAAAGACGGAAAGAAACTGATAATAAGAAAGAGAAAGAGGAGGAAATGTAGCTGAGTGGCTCTTGGGAGAAACAACTTCCTGGTAACCTGTCTGGGTGGAGCCTCAGCAAGAAGGGCTGGGAGCGGCTGTCTGTGGTGGTGTGTTGTGTGTGTTGGTTTGAATGGTGTGTGCACTAGCCTGTACATTAGAGAGGTTGTGTGCTTGCTTTCTTTTTCTTCTTTTTTTACCTGCTATGAGAACTAACATCACAGTTGACAGTGGAGTCGAGTGGAGCCTGTGCCGTGGAGGCCATGAGGTCGGAGAATGAGGACGGGAAGGCCGGTGAGTGACAGAGAGAGGCAGGTAGATAAGGAGACATAGAGAGAGAGAGGAGGGGGGGTTAGTAAGTGAAGACGTTGTTTGTGTGTTGAGAGGGTGGAGGGGTGGGCCATGAAACTGACTTGGGTCAGTGTTGTGTGAGTGAGTAAGTTGACATTGTTGTGTGTAACTGTCCATGTTGAAATTGTCTGAGGAATTTGAGAGTCACAACCAAACCACATGACTGAAACTCCCAATGTTTGTCATAGAAATAATATGTGATACAAACAGTACAGTATTCAGTGCTGGAGAGTATACAACATTTACTTCAAGAACTCTACTTAAGTACAAGTTTAGTATACTTACATCTTAAATACTGTGCTGGTTCAAGGTTCAGTGTGTAAGATTTAGGTGAGATTTTATTTTATTTTGCACAAATTGAATACAAAATAATCCTCATGATGTTTTCACTAGTTTGTTTCATCAAAATTATATGAATTGTTGTTTTCTTTATCCTAGAAGGGGCCCTTTATATTGAAATGCTTTATATTTACATTGAGAGGCCACCATGTTTTTAACAGTTGTCCAGATGGGACAAACTTAACACCTTTTGAGTTTTTATGACAACTGAAGGCCTCCATAGGTTCTCAGTCATGTTTGGAAGGGGAGGGGGAGGGGAGGGATTTTCAGCTCTAACATGCAATTTCACCACTAGATAACACTAAATTCTACACACTGTACCTTTAACACCTGTATTGTGCTGATGTGCAGAGGGAACTCTTTGAAAGTACTTCACCACATTTATTTAACAGCTACTGATACCAGGTACTTTACAACTTTTTATAGCGGTGTATAGAATTTGATTTATTGATGACACTATATTTGAATTAGTCCAAATTACTCAAACTAACTACTACTTTGTTCCTTGTTATAATTTCCCCAGAATCGATGTCGATGCAAACACTGCCTCACCAGGTCGATTACATTATATTTACAAAAATATAAATTGAGGGTTATTTTACACAATTTATTTTTATACATCAACTCAGATTTATTTAAATCTGTTC